TATTTGAGCTCTAATTTTTTTTTATTTTTTGCATGCTCAAAACATGACCGACGACGAAGGTGGAACGATAGTGGTGTGGCAGTGACTCGACGAGGAAGATAACTGGACCGTCATGTGTGACCCACACACTAGCGACACGCCGACGAGGTCTCCAACCGGTTGGGACGCGCCGGTGGGAATGCACCTCCTTTGGATGATGAAATCTTAGCGATTGGATCCAATCTTGATCCAATGGTTAAGATTAGTTCTTGCTTTTTCACTTGGATGCGTGATGTGGCTTAATGGGAGCCATTGGATCTAGCTTCTCATCCAGGGGCTCTCATGAAATTATGTTTCTTTCACATGGATTAAAGTAAGAGTGACCCTTGGATGAATGCTAATCAAGGGTGGAGATTAGTTTGTATTTTTTCATAAGGATTTGTGATGTCATCACCTAAAAAGCCACATCACCATAAATGTTTCATCTTTGACTTTTCAAAACAACAAAATTTCTCCCCGAAAGAGCTAAAATCGACTGTTAAAGATCAAATAATTTAGGATTTTTGTTTTTTATATTTTTTTATATATTTATTTATGTATATATTTGTAATAATGTGGGCTATTTATTTGAGTCTTCGGAAAAACTACATAAATGGACTATTATCTAATGAAATGGACTATTATTTTGAGTTTTTATTATTTAAAATGGGTGATACTAATATGGACTATTTATTCTAACATGCAAACTATATAGTATATACTAACTATATAATATAAACTATGTAATATACTAGTTATTTAATATCAAATATAATATACAATTATTTGATATGAAACTATATGATATGCAATGCATTTATTATTTAATATTTACTATATAACATGCTAATTATTATTTAATATGCAATCACCTAGCAAAAATTATACACTATATGATATATCTAATATGCCAACTATATACTATATACATACTATATATTATACACATGTCCACGCATTTATTATATTACTATATTATAATATGAAAACCGCCACATGTCACCACCCGGATAAAATGGGTGATGACATATACAAAAGCTCGATGAAGAAATTTCTGGTAGCAAAGTTAGGATTTTAGCCTTATAAAATTTTTTTTATAAGATCTGAGAGCTTAAAAAAAACACTTTATTTTTGTTCATTTTATTGTGATTTTATTATATTCAATTGTAATAAATCAAATATTATTCAAATTTTATATCAAATGTTATTTACATTATCAATATCAATTAAATCCATCTTTTATATTATGTGTTATAATTGTTAGATAAATTTTCTTTACATAAATTAAACTATATAATTTACATTTAAAATAATTTTATTAACCAGTTCAATGCCAATAAATTATTCTAACTTGTAATCATTATAATTAATTTAATTAATAATATTCAATACATAAATTACTTGATAAAATAAAATTAATGATTATATTAAAGATTTATAACATAAGAATCATAATTAATATAATAAATCTATTTATTAATTTAATTATCATAATTAATATTTTATTATAACATTTAAAAATTAATCATATTAATTAGTATGATTTATTATAAAGTCAATTTTATTAAAATCTTATAATTTCATCAATGGTAATATATAAGTCAGGTAAATATCATATTAGATCAATAACAAGTCGGGTCATTTACATGTCAGGTTGAAAATATGTTAGCTTCATAACATGTCAGGTTAAAAACAGGTTGGGTAATACCAGTTATTAACCAGGTCAAACTCGGGTTCGGGTTCGGGTTCATATCAGTCGGGTTCAGGAGGGTTCGGGTTCATATTTTCGATTCAATTTGGGTTCATGTCGTTCTCAGGTCTAGTGCAGGTCGGGTTCAGATCCACAATTTCCAGGTCTAAGTCGGGTTCAGGTCAACACCAGTTCCGACTTGACTCGCTTTCAGATCGTCACAGCGCAAGTCAAAACAATTTTGTCTCGAGTCGGTTTTAGTCAGTTTTACAAGTCGGGTAAGCTTTTTACACTCGTATTCAATATCCTTGTTTCAAAGATTTCAGTTTAGAGTTTTCATCAGTATGACACTAAGTTCGATTTTGATTATACCATCAACACCTTAAAAAAAACCAATAACTTATATAAAGATAAGAATTCAATATAAAGTGATTGGATTGAAATATTTCATTCAAATGTTGAAGATTCTTTATTAAAGGTCAATATCGTGATATAAAGAGAAAGGCATCAACGTTCCTATAAAAAGGTCCTTTCTAATTAAAGTCCATGCTCTCGAAATATATATATATATAAGCATAATGTATTGGAACACAAACCATCAAAACTTGTCTTATAAAAAAAAGTCTTATATGAATTTGTCAACTTTAAGATGAAACCGTTAAAATTGAAGTCAAGCCGTATTATAGAAAATTAATGACTCAAATAGGGATTTCTTTTTTTGGATGTGATGCTAGTGTATTTGGGATTAGAGATGGACATGGGACTCGAACTCGACGGGTTCTGACCCGATCTGATTAGGTCGTGTTATTTTTAAAAAAAAATCGGGTTCAATTTTGGGTCGGGTTTTTTTAAATAAGATGTTCGGGTTAGGTCAGGTCGGATTTGGGTTTAGGATAAAAAATACCCGACTCAAAAAAATTATTTTACCTTATATATTTATGAATAATTACAATAATACCCTCTATATATTATTTTTTTAATTAAGTCACTGTTTTTATTGAATAAAAATAATATTTTTATTATTTCGGGTCGGATCGAATTTTTAAGTTATATATCGGGTTTGGGTCGGATGAAATCTTATTTTGGTCGGGTCGGGCTGGATCTCGGATAGAGAATTCCTTAATCTCGTATCGAGTCTCGGATGGAGGATTCATTGATCTCGGATTGGGTCGGGTGGACCAAAAACCCGACCCATGCCCTCACTATTTGGGATGCGTTAGACAATTTATGAGTGTTGAGACTTTAAAAAGGGTACGTTGGGATGAAGAAAGTGGTTCCGGTGGCACAAAAAATATTTGGCATTCCAATCCAAAACATCAATTATTATTCTCTATAAAGGCTCAAAGCATATTCTTTAGAATCTTCTCTTGTATTTTATTTACTCTCTCTCCCTCCACCCATTTCTTTTCTTTATTCCCCCTGCCTTTTTCTATTTCATCTTCCTATCAATTGCCTTTTTTATTGTGATCATATGTAATAAACTTAAAATAATATAATAAATAAAATAGTTAAAATAATTTAATCTATTAACAATGTATGTACATCTTGAAACATAATTGTTTGAATTTAGATAATCTAAATTCAAATAATTACGTTTCATTTACCATTCAATAATTTTTACCCAATATCTAAATAGATGATGATAGATTAAACTAAGAATAAATTCTTAATTAATTTACCAAACAATAATCTTATAGTATATTTAACAATTTATTTGTGAGTTTTCTTCACAAAAACTTTTTAAGATATAAAATATCATTTTTTTCGTAAACTTCTTTTATAAATTATTTTATTATAATTTTGATTATTTGCATAATTTACTTTTCTTAGTTGTGTCTTCTTTTACTAATTTTAATCCAAATATAAAGTTAAAAGAGAATTAGTTTATTATAATTAATTCCCTCACAAAAGTTTTACTTCATTTTATCAAGTTAATCAAATTACATTAATGAATTCCTTTTCTTATGGGGAGCAACGTGAAACTAGTCAATTGATCAATCAAATTACATTAATGTAATTCTTTACTACATTAATAAACTTTATTATATATCATATTTATTTTTATAATTATTTTTAAAAATAAAATATGATCAGTGAACTTAATTCATGAAAATGTTACAATTACAATTTTTATTTTTTTGGTATTTAATTAAATATTTATTGTTTGAGAAAATAGTCAATTGATGCCATGTGATGACTGTTGACATCCTTCAATTTAGACAGTTGGACACGACAAGTAAAAAGAATACCACAATTTTGGACAAAAAATTGAAATTAAGGAAGTTTTGTGTTATATAATAAATTTTACTCTTCGGTAAACTATGTGTGAAATGCAATTAAAATTAGGGAAATTACGAGTTTAGTACCTAAATTATTAGTTTTGATCCGTTTTAACACCAAAACTTTCAAATTTTTTTCAAACTCATACCTAGAGTTTAGTTTTTTTTATTTCATTTTAGTATTCTGTTCAAAATATGACGTTAAGTTTTGGAAAAATTGAAAGATTTAGTACTAAAACATATCAATATTGATATTTAAGGTACTAAACACGTTAATTTTTTAACAATAGGTACTAAAATGGAACAAAAACTAAACATTAGGTATAATTTTGAAAAAAATTGAAATTATAGGTACTAAAACGGACTAAAATTGATACTTGAGGTACTAAATGTGTTATTTAGCCTTAAAAATTATTCATGTTTATTCTTCAATCAGGATTATGTTTTACAGTAATTAACTTCAGTTGTTTAGCGTAGTGTTATTTATAATTATGATTATAGATATTTAAATTTTTAAAAGAGAATTTATACCTATATCTTTAAAAAAAATTAATATATATATTGACCTTTGAATTTGAATTTAAGATAAAGTTTAATAATTAATTTTAATTAGATATTTAATTTAGTATAAAGTTTAAATATATATATTGACATTTGAATTAGAATTTAAGATGTAATTTTTTTAAATTTGACTTTTAAAGTTTAATTTAGCATAAAGTTTTTTTCAACTAAGTATATAAACTTGACTTATTAGTTTAAATTAATACTTTTTATTTGAATTAGTACTTGATATAAATGATCAAATTGAACCTAAAAATCAATTTTGAGGGACCAAAAATATTTAAACACTAAATTAGATTTGATGCCAAATTTGCGTGTATAGTTAGACAAAATAAAGTTGAAGTACCAAATTGTAACATGAGCCAAGTTTGTGTATGAAAATATATATTTACCAACAAAAAGCTAAGATATAAAGAAACAGTGTTGTTTCATGCCGCTTGGGGTCCCTCTAGTATTCTGTCTCCTTTTTTGAGCTAAAGTTTGTTACTTTGGTAAAGAAAAAAAGGTGTTGGATCGGAGTTGGATATATAAAGAAGCCATGTTCATCTCCATGCTCCATCTTCCTTAGCAGTTAACTCCCTCCATTTTTACCACCACCATCACCTTGCAGCCCAAGTCAGAATCACCCTTAACCTAAAAAGGCACATTCCCTCTGATCCCCCTACACTTTCTCTTTCTTCCCAACAAGAGCCCTATATATCGTTCTTTTCATTTGTTTCATTCATGAAAGACGACAACACTGCAACAGCTAATCTAACCCAAAACCGGCAACACCAGGTGTGCAGAACCACAGGTGCTGTTTCCTCCGTTGACCAAGTCGTCGACATGTCGCCGCCGGTCATGTCTCCGGAGGTGGTCCCTTCCAACGCCGGGGATGAACTCAACTTGATCCCATCTTTGAACTTCGCTATGGTTGACAATGGCATTTTCAGGTCCGGCTTCCCTGATTCTGCCAACTTCTCTTTTCTCCAAACGCTTCGTCTCCGGTCCATCATGTAAGCCCAAAGTTTGTTACTTTAATGCTTTTTTTACCAGCAAATTTTTGTACTCTGAGTTAAAGGGTCTTTTTGAATGTTAGATATCTTTGTCCTGAGCCATACCCAGAAGCCAACAATGAATTTTTAAAGGCCAATGGAATCAGGCTGTTTCAGTTCGGAATTGAAGGTTACAAGGTGAACTTTTTCCCTATCAAACTTGCTTACTTTTATTAACCAATTCAGCTTCTTAAAATTTGCTTTGCTATTTAAGTTTTGTATTGGCAATTGAGATCAAATGTGATTGACCTACTTATTTTTGTTTCCAGTCCATACAATTTGGTGATGTACTTCACCATCTATATAAATTTCAACTTCAGAGAAATGTAATGATGAAGCTGTAATTGAAAATTGAATTATCTTGTGATGTAGGAATTTACGGGGGTAAATTTTCAAATAGTCCCAAAAATTAGATGAGGGAGAAGAAATTAGCTTATTCACTCTTATTCTCTAGTTCTTTCTTCCATTTCCATCTTGATTAAGGATGGATCGAGGGGTTGGTGGATCGGTTAGCCTTCTTCTTTATATTTTCTACTGATAATCTTTCTCGTCTCCTAAAATTTTATAAATTCATTTATTGCATAAAATTATGTGTCCGTCCTTGATCTTAATCGTGCTTTCAGTGTTGGTGATTCGTTAGAGCATAGGGCATCAGTTGTAGTTTGCTTTAATAAATGGAACTTAAAAATCCTGATCTGATATAGGTAATGATGTAATCGCTTGTTATGTTGGTTTCATCACAGTAACTACAATGAAGCTGTCTTGCTTTAAATAAACTGCCTCGAATGTATGTTTGATTTCGGTGCGACAATTTAAAGTGATTCGAAGTCTGATGTTCATGTATATTGTCTTGTAGTTATTTTTGTTATACTTCCATTCCTTGAGCTTCTGAAGTAATCCGTAGCTGAATTTGGGATCATTTTTACAATTGGGATGCCATTTATCTTGTGTTCACCACCAATTAGACATTGAAAAGCCTCGGTTCATGCATGACATACGTACTATGAAATGATATCTTACCATAAAAACTAATATACAGATTTCATCCAGGAGCCATTTGTAAATATCCCACAGGATACAATCCGCGAAGCTCTAAAGGCTGTCCTTGGTACTACAAGCTTTTAACACTTGATCCGAACATGGCTGATCCTTTTTCAAAGAATTTAACTTTATCTCTCTGAATTGCAGATGTAAGGAATCACCCGGTTCTGATTCACTGCAAACGGGGGAAGGTATACGCAAGTTGCGCTTTCTTTTTCGTATCGGAGTATGAGAAAGTGAGTACCTAGCCTCTTAGTTTGATAATGTTGCTATGTTATTGTATTTCCAGCACCGAACTGGCTGTCTTGTGGGATGCTTGAGAAAACTGCAAAGGTGGTGTTTGTCATCAGTCTTTGATGAGTACCAAAGGTTTGCCGCCGCAAAAGCTAGAGTTTCTGATCAGAGGTTCATGGAGTTGTTCGACACTTCTAGCTTGAAGCATCTGCCGATGTCGTTTTCTTGCTCGAAGAAGTGAAGAACCACATCGATTAAACAGCAAAGAAGAATGCTGCACTTCCTGCACCGATATAACTAGGAATAGGTGACGAGTTCCCTGAATTGCAATAAAAGGCGCACGTAGGTGTGATATATATTTAGCGTGGAGATCTCCTCCCCGCCTTTTTCATGTTGATCTAGTTGTCCTCTACTTGTTTTACTTTGAAAGCCATTGTTAGCTTCGTTTAAGGTTTCGAGACAGTTTTTACAGTGAACAAGAATCAAGATTTACAGCTATTCTTCTTGTCAAGCTGCTTTTGCAGATAATTATAGGCAAGGCAGCTAGAGTTCAGGCAATGTAGACACATGATTCTATTTGGCTACTTAGCTATCAATATTCATATACAGAACAGCTCTTCTTTGGAAACATTTCTTTTGTAGAGTTACCTGTTTGTTTAATCTTTTAGACTCCATTAATGCAGTAAGTTTATGTTTTAACATTATGCAAAATTGGTTATAGAAAGACCAAAAAAATTGATGAGGATTGTGATGATAAGGTAAGTTAAAATGATCAAATTTTTTACGTTAGTTATGAAAACAATGAACTGTTTACAGCTTACTGCATGCATTTCATCAAATCAAAGCGTTTGAGTACAAGGGCTGTTGCAATTATGTTAGGGAATTTACCTGTTTTGTCCACCCTTCAAACCTTGGCCTTTCGAGGATGCCAATGGACATGTTTGTTTTGTTTGTATAACCATTGATGTCTGATCTATTGATCGACTATTCTAGAATATATACTGCAGAGACGAGGGAGATGTCTGATCTATTGATCGACTATTCTAGAATATATACTGCAGAGACGAGGGAGACATTCTCAACCTAGTTTGCTCCATTTGAAAACATCATAATTCGAACACTTGACCTTTGTTTAAAGGATCTAATACCTCATTCCACTATACTATTTTTTTGTTGGTAATGGACATGCTTGTTATTTTTTTTTTGTGGAGGCAGAATTTTATATTAGAGGCAAACGTGAAAATATATTATCAATAGAGGTTTAAAAAATCTAAAATAATATAGGAATTAAATTTTTTAAGGGAAAATTATCCCTAGCCACCCGTTGATCTATCATTATGTTTGATATAGATATAATTTATTTATTTTTAAAAAAAAATCATATATTTACTGTGGCGGAAAGCAAGAAAGGCTAGTGGGGGCCATGGAATCCCAAAATTTTAAAAAATTATAATATAGACACTTAAAATTTTCAAAAAATTTAATTTGGTCTCACCAAAATTTTTAGAAATTTAGATTAAACTTTAAAATTTATGAATGTTCTTGATTAAACTCATTCTCGTAATTTTCAAAATTAAAAAGAAATAATTTAAACATCTGAGTTTTTAAAAGTTTTAAATTGCCCCTTCTAAACTCTATCACCAATTTCCATCCCTATATATTTATTTCAAAGGGATAAATGTTGGATAAGGTATTTGCTTGATATAGATATAATTTTTTCATATATTTGAAGGATCATATTCATATTTATGTGGAAACTCCAAGCTATCTCTCTGACGGCAACCATGGCAAATGCTGGGCCATGCCAAGCCCTATCAACATTTGAGCAAGCCTGTATCCTTTAGCAGTTGTTTAATGTGTATGGAACTGAATTAGTGCTGGATGAAACATCACTTTAGGCCTTAAAGGAGACAACACCATACAACACTAGTAATACCAACTTGTCCAACCGGAGACCAAACAGCCATCTACTTAAGATGCATGATCAACTGGTCAAATAAGGTTGTAGGGCCGGGGCAAAAATTATCCAAGTAACAATTATCCAGTATCTCAAATCTCTCCACCACTCTTCACATTACAAGTATTTGCATTACCTACAATCTTCACTCATGCAAATAGGTTGAGTTTTGTCATCCAATCCAACTTCCAAAACTCAAACCCAAAAGAGAGGGGGTGGTATTGCTGTATTCATTAAGCATCTACCAATTTTGCTCCCACTCTTCCATCGTACTACTAAAAGAAACATACCATGTAAAATTTATTTACACAGTTGATTAGTATCAAATAATAACTTATATAAATATATGTCAAATTTATTTGTAAAGTAAAAATCAAATAATATGAAATAATAATTACTTTTTCAACCCTATGCACGAGTGAATGAAAAAAAAATTATATCATGAATTCTCTTCATTACATCAGTAGTTCTAATTGATGAAAATTAATTATTTCATTTTTTTTCTCCACGCTATTATCCATTTAAATAATAACTTTTAAAAAGTGTTTTTTTAATATTCACACGAAAGAACTTTTCTTAAAATAATTTAAGGTAATTATAAGGTATTATGTATTTATAATCTTTTTGAACTATTAGATTTACTTTTAAAGAATTAAATGTAAACTCATTGATAAAAAATGATATCAGATTTTTTTTTAAATGTGTGGTTTATATTGATCAAGGTCATAATTAACATAACGGTAGTGCATGATAGAACATTTAGGGTAAACTACTCAAATGACTATTGAACTATGGGGTTAGTGTTGATATGATCACTATACTTTTATTTTTTTTGTCAATATGACTATATAACTATTTAAATGATTTCAATCAAGCTACCTGCCATTGACATATGACAAGAGTGTTTATGTGTCAACATATGATTGTGACACATGTCATCACCTGATTGAACAAAAACAAATTTGAGATAATATGACCTTTGAGTAGGTTTAAACATAGGTCCCTTGAATGTAACTAAAGTACCCAAACCACTAGACCAAATATTTCAATTGGTTAATAATTGCAACAAACTATATTTAGCTTATGAAAATGTTAATGAAAGAAAAATAAAGAAATAAAAAAACATACAAATGAGGATTTGAACCTATGTCAATTATAAAATATAAGAGCATCTAAATTAATTAAACAAATATAATTTTTTATGATTAAATAGAATATATATATATATATTATAAATTGTATTTAATGCAATATTTAAAATGAAAACTAAATTGAATAACTTCATATTTCTAAATTAAATTTAATACTTTTTTCATATTCATATTTTTCAAAATAAATATGAAATTATAAAAATAAGTATGAAAAAACATTAAATTTAGTTTAAAGTTATAATGTAACGCCCGATCCTGGGTTAGTAGTTCGGGCCAACCCGAGTCCCTAATTTGAGCCTTATAAACCTATTATAATAGTTCAAACCAAGCTTGGTGATTGTGGGCTTAAGTTTGAGCCCAAGAGTTTTAATAAGGGGTGTTGAATTTTGTATGAAACAGGAAGTTAAGGGACTAAAAGTGCAATTTTCCCCTTGATTGTTTTGAAAGTTGAAAACCCCTCCTTAAATTATGATTTTCACATGAACAACCCTTTACTTAACTCACCAAACATTCTTCTTCATTCTTCTCATCTTTATCTCTTCTTCAACCATCTTTAAGTAATAAACTCAAAAGAATTCAAGCCTACTTGGATCAATCCAAGGTAAGATTTTTAATCCTCATCCTTCTAGCTTCATTTTGAGCTCCATTTCACTAGTTTTTAACCATAGAACCAAAATGGGTATTGAGAGGTTTGTGATAACTTTTAGATTCTAGCTCATTTTAGAAGGATTAGAGTTGTAGGGATTGTGTTTAGTGTGAAATCAACATTTATTTGAGTTGATAATCTCTTTCCCTTAGCCTTGGTTAGTGAAAGAAGTTGGGGACAACTAAATAGTAAGGGGAAAAGATAAATTGTTTCTTGAGTATTTTGAGGACTTTTCTAGCAAACCAAAAATTCAAGGTAATACATTTACAACTTCTTCATACCTTAGTTGGTCATTTAAATTGTAACATTAGCTTAAGAGTTGAGGTTGAAGCATGTTAAGCATTTCATGGTAGATTATATGTTTTTAAGTTGTAGTATGTTTAAAAGCCTTCTTTATGACCTTTATATTAAGCATAAAACATTAATAATGATTGAGGACCTTAATAAGGTCTTTGGGGTTTGATAAATAGGACTTTTCGTGCATAAATTATGCAATCTACAGCTTGGGTATCGATACTAGATGGTTAGTATCGAGATTGTTCTTCATTTTCTGGGTAAAAACATGAATTTCTGGGTAGTGGTATCGATACTTATTTTAGAGTATCGATACCGAGGTCGCGGTCTTGAGACTCCCATGCATGGTATCGAGACCCATATTCTAATAGCCTTTTAAGTATCAATACTTACATAAAGTATCAAAACTATGTTCAGAAGTACCGATACCGAATGGTCAGTATCGATACCAACAGCTGTTTTAGGCCAGAAAGTCAAATTTTTAAGGGATAGACTTGAGGTACCCCAACACTTCCGTATATAATCAAATAAGACTACAAGTGGGAACATAAATGATGCTAAATTACATTTAGAAACAAGATCAATTAGGGGATATAAAACTAGCCTTGATTAATGCTCGAGAAACGATCAGGACACCCGAGTTCCTTTAGCAAGATTATGATGTCAAAGTATATAATCAATCTGGATATCCTTAGGTAGTGCACGAGGCACTTTAAACTTACTAACTAGGGCCAAGATCCGACACTCGTGAGTGGTGGGTTAGTCGAGGGTGTTATATCCGATGTAGATATTTCGGGTCTCACCCTCGGTAGACTAAAAGGGTACGTGAGCTTCGAGATACAAAACCCTTAGTCGCACCATGATGTCTACCATAGAGTAGAGAGTGTAGTATACAATTATACTCACTATTGCAGTTTATCAGTTAGCTTGAGCATGTCATGAACACTTTTAGTATGACTTAGTTGTTAGTGTGGCAATAGGCTAGTTAGCTCAACATTTGGAATTTGTTTACTTACGTAGGTTAGTCAAGGACCAGTCCGAATACCCATTTTTCCAGCAGTGATACAACTCAGACTAGTGCAGAGTACATCCCGAGTTCATCTTTATAGGGTATGTATATTTATAAACCCTATTTTCTATATTCAAGTCGTAACTTATTTTAACGATGGTCTGTATTAATTGAATTGTTATTTTTGGGAGCTCCTGAATTGTAAACTATTTTATTTAAATTATGGTTGATTTATCTTGGTATGAGTATTTACAAATGGTAATTTCAAATTGAAAAATTTAAGAAAAAATTTTAGTTAGCCACTCGAGTGGTTCCGTGTGGCATTCAGATAAGTCGATTGTGTGTTGTACCAGTCTAGGGTGTTATATTTAATGGTATCAGAGCATCAATTTTAGATATTCCTAGGGCCCGTGGGTTAGAGTCAGTAAAAGTTTATGAAATATACATGCCTATAGGGATGTTATGAGTACTTCTGCTTTTGAAATAGTGATAATAACTCCTCATATTGTTTAATTTAAAAGATTAGTTATGGATGAGAGCCCAAGCCATAGTTAGGAGGGTAGACCTGAG